TGTATATTTTTGGAATGCCCCTCTTTTCTCGGGTACCTACTACTAGTTACAGCAGTGAAAACGAAAGGTTCCCTCGAGTCTCGACTCTCAGCAGCTCAACGACCCGCCACCACCGACCTTCCACCTCTATTAGCGGGATCATTTCACGCGCCACGAGATCCAAACTAAACTTTCTCTTCTCATCGCGGGCCCGAAAAGAAAAACAGATTCAACATTCCAACGGGAAGTAACACGAATGCACTTATTTCGGTGATGTGTGTGTACTCAAGAGGAATATTTTTTGTCCGGAGGTACGTTTCGTTGAGCTGGTAGGTACTTATTTTAAAGATATGATCGCATCGGTGAACGTCACGTTCCTAGAAATTTCCTACTTACTCACTACGCTGCCTTTCGATGAGAGCTGAGTATATTCATGAATGAAGCCATTATCGCGAGGCTGAAAATAAATCCAAAACATCACATCCCAACCCAAACGTGATCGAGTATAGTGAGTGCAGTGCAATCACCGATCGTTGATCGTCCCTCTCCATTCGAGCGTCGTTTGAAAGCGAGGGTATTGGAGTGTGAAATTTGAGGCGGTAAAATTTCGTTTTAATGACTGCCAGCAACGGTGAGGTGACGTGCCGTCACTGCTGACTAAGAAAAAAAAGAACGGAAAGCAAGGGGCACGCCCGTTAACAGTACCAATCAATCTCGTATTTGGTTGTTAGGCGTTAATGCTCTAATTAATTTACGAGACTCAACTAGACGTGGTGGGGGAGAGATAAATTGAAAGTGATGAAGAGATTCCCCATTGAAGGAGAACGTCGACTGACTGAGATCCACTTTCGCAGTGAACCGACCTCGGAATAGCGCGATATGAACGATCTGATGAAAGAGTGTTGCTTTGCGTGGGCATTGACTTTTTGAATGAATGCATCTCAAACTGACTCGAGACAATGAAAGGCATGAGCAACTGACAGCATCGCATTCCGACACATTCAGACGTTTTCTCCCATAATCGTTCCCACGGCAAGAGCTACCCCGGAACTGATGATGGCTTCCCATTCGGATTGGTACAAACCCAAAAAGGCGACCAATCCCAAACTAGAAGACAAGCATACATAAATCATAACAAATCGAAAGGAGGCCAAAGAGCCGACCGAAACATTTAATAATAACATTTCTCGAATCCAATCTCCGGGGCGGCTCTCGACACTTTCTACTCGTAGTGACAACCCTTGCAAAAGGCTGTTTGTGTGTAATTCTTCGTTCAACCTTCCATTTATAGCCACTCTTTGACCAAAGACAGCGCAGCCTCCGTGTCTTTTTACGGAGCGGCGGCGCAGTTGTCATTTTATGTCATGTCATCGAGCAGGTTTTGAAACCGACCCCGAAGAATAACCAAGCGCGGACCACAAATGCCAGAGAACGTGCCGAGACTCGATGGTATGCAGCTCTTCAGCGGCAGCAGCAGCATCATCGACCAAAGAGTACAGTTATCTTTTTCATCCCACTTTACGATGAGATTGGCTCGGCTGCCACAGAGACGTACCGAAGCGCATTCCAGCGTGCTGCAGTCATCATCTCCCGCGATTTCGCTTCCTCTCAAAGCTTTAACAACATCAGACAGCCAACAAGGAGGCCCCCTCTGATAGAAAAATACAAATAACAGAAAAATAACTGTAGAAGCCGGGCTAGCGCCCCTCACCACAACGACAACAACGGGATGGATTTTCTTTCATTGCTCCCAATCGAGTTCTATGTTTTTCCCTTATTGAGATTGATTTTTACAGCGACAGTCGAGGGAAATGAACATTTCGAGGCCACTGTCGTACGTATATAGCTCTTTTACACAAACAAAAATGGTGCTAATTTTAGAGACCCCTGCAGCAGCATGCGCGACAACAACCGCAGTTTTCGATTAATCTCTCTTCTTTTGGTTTCTGAGTCGTGGTTGGTTTGTTCCTTTTTCGGTATAACGCTGACAACCCGCGGTTCCCTGAATGGGAAAACCGACTGTGTGGCCCAGCGACTAAATTTAAAACTTTTAATTACTTTCGATGGTTTATTTAGAAAATTTTACGATTAGTGTCGGATTGCAGCTTATGGAACCGGGTGAAAGTATGTACCGGCTGCTAGATTTTTCCAAATGGGATGATTCGATTCGAGTGAGAATGATTTAATACGAGCAGATCAAAATAATATTTTCGTAGCAGTCAAACTTTGCAATGGAGGAGCAAGATTTTAGGATTTTTTTTTCAAAAGTGCCCGACTTAAATTGCATGAAAAAAGGCTTCCTTGCACTGAAATGAGCTTAATAAGATTTCACAATCTCATATGGCAATTATCAGCGAATATTTGAACAATGTCCAACACATGGTAAAACATGAGTGGTCCATTAGCCGAAAACAACCATTTCCAATAAGAACCGCCGTGCTGTCAGTTCTTACAAGAGACACGACGATGCAAACAAGCGTCCAACTCACACCCTTATGCAATTATCAAACAACGAAACCCCATCATCACATCACCGGTAAACGTGAAAACAGCAAAACATCTGCCAGCTGTCAACCTTCCGGAGAGACCGACCCGAAACACCCAAATTATCAGTAAAGGGGACGTAGTGCTGCTACATACATACCCAACAGCAGGCGTCACCTGCCTTTCGGGAACAATCATTTACAACGGTCAAAACCATCGGCTTGGTGTAACGTGTTTTTGTGCCTAACAGCAACGGCCCACAACTCCGTATGGCTGGGTTGGTTGAAATACACTTCACCGTTGTTGGAATGGCAAGCAACGCAAGCAAAAACGTAAAGCCATTGAAATTCCACACTCACACGTGTAGGAAGAGACACACGGGAAAGAAGAACAAGTTTGCAATTTTCATCATACAACATTTTGAATAAAAATTCCAACTCGAACAATAGCGAGGAAACAGCCAGCGATTGTAGTAGTTTTTGTACTCGTCTCGTCTGGCAAATTGGGCAACTGACATTATATTGTGCCAAATGAAAAAAAAGATCCAAGATGAAATTTGTGCTTCAAACACCTTGTTTGTATTTGACCAACATTTGAAAGATATTACAGATAGTATTTTTAGGATCACCCTATGGGAATAATGAATTAGTCAAATATATTGTATTAACAATATGATCCACTCTTTTGCTTAGCTGGCGAACCGAATTTTTAGCGATGAAAGCGCCTCTGTGGTCAAAAGGGCTACCACTGTATTTATTTATTCTTCACTGTATTTATTTATCTACCAATTAAAAATTTGCATAATATTTAAAATGTATGTATTTCCGCATATTATTTTATTTGACGATAACAGTGACACGTTAGACAAACTTTCATGTTATGTACGAAATGTAATTAATGAAAAAAAAATGACATTTATTTTTGTAATAAGTGCTATATTCACGCCCCTCGATGTAATTGTATGATTGTTGCTGACCTTTTTCAACGCTGATGGTGCGTGGAGCAATATGTTTCGGATCTCCATTGCAATGGAAATTTCTGGAAAAGGCATGAATGGATCATATTGTTAATATTATTTGGAATTAGTGCAAGCTGTAAGTTTTAATCTCACTACTACTGACAGCATGGCGCCACCATCATATGAGCAAAAATGTATGGAGATTTGAACATTTTTCCAATTAGGTATATCGATTTTAGAAACGAAAATAAAAAATATTCGGTTCTAGTTTCGTAAAAAACTACATTAATTTTTCGAATTTGTGCATACTAAATAAATCGCCTTCACTTTTTTTTACTAGCAACATATGCTTCGAAAAACAGCCATAATGGATCTATTCATGCGTGGATTATTCAATGCATAGAATATTATTCAATTTATTTTGTTTTATTTTTTGTATGCAGTGTGATATTTTGTCCAGATCTCAAATTTCATGAAGATAAAGATTGTTGCATAATCAACCCTTATTCCCCTTATTAAGAAATTTTCCATGCAAAAAATGCTGTCAGTTTGCATCTGACATGTCCCCTTGTATCTTATTCAACGTCATCCAGATTTCCAGGAGAAATTTAATTTTTTTCCAGATCAACATAAAATTGTGTAAAAAAAACTTCTGACTCATGAAAAAAAAAACGTACACGTAATCCAGCCCTGCAACACGCGCGCGAAAACCACCAACACCAAACGGCGCGCTGGAATTAACCCTCGCGTTAGCAGTTTGTATTAGTGGTATTAGTGCGCGGATGTTCTCACAAAAAAGCAACTTTTAACGGAAATTTCCCTCACGCTGGTGTTTGTACAAACCGGGAGCCGCGTAAACCCATTTTCTAACCTCTCTTTCGATCTCGAAGGTATGAGCTATGATGGGCATCAGAGGGATTATTCAAAAGCCGCGCGCGCGTTTCTCTCGCACACCACACAACGAACACCTCGCCGCGTTCGTACAGTTGTGATCAACCAACCGTCAAATTCAAAAGCCGGACTTGGATTCGATCGGTGATGGTAGTCTGAAAGCATCTTTATTACAGAAAAATGATTGTAGTTGTGCTAACCGGCTTCAGGCCCGTGATGGTATTCGATTGTTCAACGAACTTGCAACGAGAGCACGCACAAAAAATCTGTTAGAACTTTCTCCATTATCTGCCGGACCGGAATCGATTAATTGAATTTTCCTGCCGGCACTGGTTTAGGAAGGCTGCAAATTTCGTCCCACTTCGGAAGGCGCCTGCGCTATGCAGCAATGTTGGAACAAACATCTTCGCCAAGCAAAAAAAAACGGAAGGATGTCTTCTTCACAACGTATCCTTTTTCCACTAAATCGATTCCATTTTGGATGTAACACCTGGTCGCATAAAAATGTCCATCGTTTTTTGCAAATGGCGTTAAGCCATCTTGCGAGATTCCAGATAATCACACAATGTAATCCCCCGGACACTACTTGGCACTTTTCGTTGACCGGGGAATTTCGGATCTCACTAGCAGTCACTTCCTTGTTTCTTCTGATGTGCAACGAAAAATTCCAGGAAAATTCGCCACTCACCTTAGCTCCAATTTGGTTTCCGCACTGTCCGGCTTGGATGTGAACGATTTCTCTCATGGTGATAAAGGTTTTTGTTCCTTAACAAAGTTGAACTAATTCGAGTTTTAAAACTTGCGAGTTTTTCCACGGAACGAGAAAAACTTGTCTTTTTTTAAATAGCTGGATCTTAACTATTAAAACACTTCACTCTCTTCTTGCTTGTTCTTCTGCTGCTTCTCTCCTAAAAGCACAGAAAGACACACGGGGAACAATCAAAGAACTCCGAGACCTGTACTCCTTGACGATCACACACTAAATGAGCTGCTCTGAAGTGGACTAGTCGCTTTTTGCTCTCTCGACAACGCCCCAGGTTCGGGTTTTATGAAACCCGCACACACTGGCAAACGGAACGGCGAGCACTCACACACAATTGATCTCGGATCAGGTTCGGGCGATGTGGTGCTGCAGCAACAGCAGCCACACCTACACCAACTCCGCATAAGGGTTTCGTCGATTGTTTGTAGTGGTTTGCCGGTATGCAGCTTTAAGGTAAGCTGTCAATAGATAGCACTTGCTTATAATATATTCACCCATTTTTAATTTTTAATTTTTTTTTGTATGGAAAAACGGTTCGAACAAAAACGAGAATATGAGTGATAAAATTTTTTGAAAATTTGATGTGATCTTTCAAGTGGCCACTGCAAGAAGTTTAATTCCTTGGTTTCCATAGTAGAAAATAATCTTATAAAGTGCTTAACGACGTCTTCGGGGTGTCATCCAAACCATTTGTGGAATAGTTTCACTGTTCGGGTTATCGTTTGATGTGGTGCGTCCTTATTATTGTCAAGTTGAAAACGGGAACTCCCCACACGTTACATTCGATTTTAATCTTGTTCTGTACGTAACGTCGGACATAGTGCGAATTATCATTGTGCGAATAATCATTGTGCGAATACAGTGCTTCATATCCGACACTATTTTTAACGTACAGAACAACAGTAAAATCGACTGTCGCGTGTAGGGTTTTCCGGTTTTCAACTTGACCGACAATAATCAGGACCCGATTTAGAATCCTTTAAGCACCGTGGCGTGAAAATTTCCAATTTCGCATCAGTCTAGTGTACATAACCTGGTACGGTACATACTCTTGAAGTTCGTCGATAATAGCCTCCCAAAATGTGAACTCATTCGGTTAGAAACTGATTCGACACAAACCATTTGAACTTTGTATAGAAATTACTATGGGAAAGCCAAATGTTCTGGGCATATCTTTCTAACAATTTACCATATCACTCTGCTTTTAAAAATGGTAGACATGTTCGAAATTTTCGTAGCTACATCTGTGTTCATCACTTTTCGATCAAATGTAAGGAACAATTGTTATTAATGATCCACGTTGCTGGTGTCCTATGACTATGCTCAATCAACTGGCTCAGAAAGTACTATTGGTGTTTCTATCTAATTTTGAAACTACGGACTTGCTTTGTAAATTATTTTGAAAGTTCTTTTGAAAAAGTCTAATTGTTTTTGATATCTTTAGTTAGCTATATGTGGTGGAAATACTATCAACAATTGCTATAAATCCAATGCCATAAGAATGAAAGCTGGGCATTATCATTGCAGCGGTGCTAAATCGAAGAAAATAACACGAATCTTGGTTGCTAGAAAACAAGGATCAAATTATTAAATTGAGTAGGACAGGAGTTCAAAATGTGAATATCTCCCTTGATCTGCCTGCTCCATTCTTGGTAAATATTTTCGGTATATATACTCACCCGAGGGGGACGACTCTATCTACGATGCAAAAAAGATTGTGTTTTGCTGTAGCTACCTGCGCGCACGCTGAGTAGATAGAAAGAGGATTGATGACGATTCTGAAGATTTCCTGCAAAAACTTGATGAGCGATGCAAGTAGATGCGACAAATGAAAGAAGATTGTTCGAAGATTGATTCGCTAGTGTGAGATTTGTTGAGCTTCAAACTTGAGATTTAGATGTGTCGCCCCCCTCGTACTCACCTTCGAAGCTGGAGGGTACCAGGAATCAGTTCCTTGAACCCCTAGCGTCAATCCTTATAGGGTTGAAGCAAACATGTTAGAATTACATTAAATTAAAGTCATATTACGTACCGGATTCCAGCCGGTTTTTTTTTAATTATAATCTGCTGCTTGCACCTTTTTTCAATTTCCATAATTTGTTTTGGACAAATCGAAAATCGAGATTCCGATAATCATTTTTCAGAACAGATTGTTAAACAAAAATACAAAAACCGTGTCAACTGTTATTCCTAAAGAGAGTTTTTAAATTGTGACGGAAAGCCAATTTAAAATCGTTCGTTTCGTATTGATTATTGGTATTATCAACCGATGGAAACTAACGATTTTAAATTGGCTTACTACTTGACTAGCCTATTGGTCCCAAGCAAATCGATTAACGTACCCCATTTTAGTTGAAATTCTTGTACTACGCAATGTTTGTTTTGATTCGCTATGAAAGTTTTACAGATAAAATGAGGGGTTCGTGGATTTTCCTATGTTTCGAGGGGTGAATCGATTAGCTTGGGACCGAAGAGAGTACCAGAGCTGAGGCAAAAAGTTGAGCAGGTTTCTTCGGGACCTGCTTGTCTTAGAGTTACTTCTATGCTATTATCCTTCTTATCTACAGAGCAAAAAAATGTAATATCGATCAACGTAACTCATACTGATGTATGACATATTTATGTAATAGCAAAAATCATTTACAATATTACATCCATTTCTCCGTATATCGTGCCATGTAATGGCAATCGATGGAATGACCAGGTTGCAGCAATTTGGATGTAACATTCAACAATTGTTTTTGCTGTGTACATCTTCACCCTCCTCTTCACCATCATCAGGATGCCATTCTCGAAGCCATTCGTTCCTTTTCCGGAAGATTCCTACAACAATTATATGATTGTTTCCGCTGAATTTTGATCTGCAACTCACCAATCTTACAAATTTTATTGTTATATAGTTTAAAAAAATACAATTTAACAATTTCAGTCACTAAAAAGCACTTTTTGAACAGCTTCCAGATTTAACGACAAAAAAAAATCAACATCAAACATTCCACTTTTTTACTTGATTCTTACTATGTCAAAAATTTTCAAGATATTCGTAGAAAGTTGGAAGCAAGCAGTGAGAGCGAAAATATTGCAACGACCAAATTAATATCGGTCTAGTCTAATACCCCGTTCACATTACAGCCTATATCACGTAATATAGGCTGTCTTGCAATGAGCACTCATACATAGGATTTTCAGTGAAAACTAGATGTATGAGTGCTCATTGCAAGACAGCGTATATCACGTGATATACGCTGCAATGTGTACGGGGTATAAATCGTCTAAATGGTCTAAATGTCAAGTCTAAGCTGTTCATGAACCACGTAGACCGTTTTTGAGAGGTTTAAGACCCCACCATTTCTCCCGCATAGACAATCGTCCATTCAATTTTAATGAAATTTTTAAAGACCGTAGACAATCGCCTACTCACTAAGAAATTATTACAGTATTCGGTAATTTTTTACCGAACTTTCAACAGCTGAACGTTCGGTAATCAGTTTGGTAAACGAAATAACTACCGAACGATCGATAAGCAGATTTTCAAAATTACCGAACAATTCGATATCTTTTACCGATCTACACGGATAGAAATCTCTTTATACCTTTTGGCAAATTTCTATTGCTGATTATTCATAGAATGTATAAGTCAAGTAATAAGCAGACGCCTTGCAAAAAGTTAATGAAGATCATGTGTCAAATGAAATGTATAAGCGGTCACACATACCTTTTATGCATTCTTATAGGACCTATGTGGTTTGTCTTATGGAATGTATAAGGCTGAAGCTTTGGCAAAAATGTATAAGTGAAACACATGGATAAAATAATTGATTTTCGTTTCGTGTATTCGGAATTTTTTACTGAACTGTTCTTCATGTGTCAAATGAAATGTATAAGCGGTTTGTCTTATGGAAAGTATAAGCATAGAGGTAACTCTAAGACCAGAAGGTCCCGAAGAAACGTGCTCAAATTTTTGGCTCAGCTCTGGTACTATCTTCGGTCCCAAGCTAATCGATTCACCCCTCGAAACATAGGAAAATCCACGAACCCCTCATTTTATCTGTCAAACTTTCATAGCGAATCAAAACATAGTGTAGTACTGGAATTTATATTAGAATGGGGTACGTTAGTCGATTTTCTTGGGACCAATAGGCTAGTCAAGTAGTGAGCCAATTTAAAATCGATAGTTTCGTATTGATTGTTGGTATAAGGCTGATGTTTTGGCAAAAGTGTATAAGTGAATCACATGAATAAAATAATTGATTTTCGTTTCGTGTGGGTATGGGACATTTTTATTCAGGGAACTCTGGTTTGAAAAAAACAACTCTGGATTTTGAACAAATCTTCTAAGATTACTGTCAACAGACCGTACTTTACCCTTTCTGTCATAAAATAGAACTTGAACTGCCAACGCCTTCGCATTCACGCACACCGCAGTGAAATGCTACGTTGTACAACACACTCTCTTCTCTTGTGTAAAATCCGCCGAGAGCATCTTGCCCCTGTCGTGTACGCATTGCCAGTACTGCCAACCTCCCAACACCCAACTTTCTGACGCTTCTTCCACTTCTACTACCAAAGCCGAAATCATCACATACTGAAAAAAAATGAACGGTTGCCGACGACGTCATCGGGTGAAGCACACACATTTATGTTGTTGATGATTTTTTGACTCCGTCGCCAACAACCCACCCACCACTGCCGGCCGCTTCGAAGAGGAATTCAATTTTTTACCATTAATCTTATTAAAAAGGAATAAATCATCGTTTTACCGATACTTTCGGCAACGTTTGTAGCAGTTTCCAATTTGCTGATGAATATTTAGCACCATCCGTTCGGCTTCCGATGATGTCATACCAGTAAAAGCAGTTAAATTGATGCAGTTGCTTCGGTAAATATATGTACTTGCTTGCTCTGTCTCATGGGTTTGGGTTGGGGGCCGTTTTTCCTAAAATGGGCCAGCCAGACACGACTGCCGCACCTTATTGGCAACGTTTGGGAGGCTTTTCTCGGCGACCGACGGCGAGAAAAGAGACATGACTAATTTTGCGCATGCATAGCATATGCTGTGTTGTGTTCGGGATCGTATGTTTATGGTCGGTGCTTGTGGTGGTGGTAGGTCGGCGACGGTACACACAGGCGTTGTTTACATATGTATGAGTGTGTCGTGCGAAGCAATGCAGATGCATGTAGGCAGCAATATCTACATGTACGAATCATACGATCATCGATGGATTTGTGTAAGCTTTGGAGTTCGGGTTGTGTCGTTGC